GGGGGGGCTGTTCTGCCTGGCGCAGGACTGACAGGCAAAGAAAGACGTGCGAAAGACGGCGTTGGCGAACCTTCCGCCGAGAGTATTCATAAGTGGCGGCTGCGCGAGTGGTGAGCAAGCGGGCGCATGTCGGGCGGCAGCGCAGCTTGTCCTCCTCCTCCGCTGGGCTGTCTTCCTCCATTGCCCGCGAGCGTGCGCATATTGACGTCAGACTTCCGTGTTGTCTTCCACCATCGTCGACCATTGGCTTGCGCGGTTTCATCCATCGACGAGCACCAGCGGGCGCAGCTTCATGTACGACGTGCGTAGTCTTGAACTGCTAACGTGGAGAGCGTCGTCCTGTTCGGTCGGCTCGGTCGTGCCTATTCTCCTGTGGCAGCGGCGAGCAGCAGCGACATGCTCGGGAGACGTGTGCGTGGTGTCGTTCCTCATCGCGGAGCAGCGGACGCATCTTTTGGTCCCTGTCGCGTGGCGCACTGTGGCACAGTTGGGTACGTAGCGCCTTCGGCCCGTCCAACGAGCAAAGTGTTTGGCAGACTGTCGACGAAGCGGGCGTTGAACGGAGATGGAAGTTTGCGGACGCGGCGACGGTCTGCGTGAAGAGGAGAGAGAAGTCGTGGCGATGGCGGTGACAGTTGTCGTCTTGAATAGCATAAGCGAAATGTTGTCCTCCAGCCGCGACATGCGTTTGCAGCTTCGTAAACGGAGAGTGCTCTTGCAGAGCGTTGTGGAAGCGCCGGATTGTGTGGCGACGTGCGAAGCTGTAGTGCAGATCTGTTCCTCTCTCGACTCTGGCGTTTTCATGCGCTTGACACCGCGTTGTTGGATCAAACGACGCACTGGCGGGACATGGGAGGACCTACGCCTGTGTGACGACGCCACGGAGGACTACTACAAGGAGAAGCTGCATATGTCGAGGGCGATGTTCAACCAGATTGTAGTTGCCTGCGCCACGCACGTCGAGAAGATTGTCACGCACTAAAGGATGCCGCTGCCAGTCGAGCAGGTGATTGCTTTCGCATTGTACAGATGGGCGTCGGGGGAAACGTACGAGAGCGGGACGTCAACCTTCGGTATCGGCAGGGCGACCAGCCTGCAGGCCGTCCGCGACGTCACTGCGGCGATGCTAAATGCCTACCCCGACGTGATCAAGTGGCCTGTTGGGCGTAGACGTGCGCAGATTCTACGCGCGTTCCGGGATAAGGGTTTCTCGAATTGCTTCGGCGTCATCGATTGCACCCATATCTACATTGACAAGCCAGCAGGAGCACCGCCCGTCAACTACTACGACCGCAGACAGAAGTTCTCCGTCCAGGCGCAGGTCGTCGTCGATTTAGATTTGCGTATCCTGGACGTCCACGTCGGATATCCGGGAAGTGTCCACGACGTCCGTGTACTGCACAATTCCCATATGTGGAGGCGTGCAGAAAGCGGCGATCTTTTTGATGCACCTCCGAAGAATCTCCCACATGGTGTGGTTACGCGAGGTTACCTGCTGGGCGACGACGGCTACCCGGTTGCGTGTCCATGGATCATCCAACCGTACGGAGGAATCTTCCAAGGTCCGGACGAAGAGCGTTTGGACACGTGGCAGAAGGTGGCGCGGGGATGTGTGGAGCGGGCGTTTGGGCGACTGAAGTGCGTGTGGCGTCTCTTTTTGCGCACCCACAAGACGAACCTTCAAACCTTGCCACAACAATTCGTGGCCGTGTACACTCTCCACAACATCCTGCTGGACGCGGAGGTTGACGAGAACGGCGTTCGGCGGAGAGTCGACTTGGGCATTGTGGGGAACGGCGGTGGTGGGCGGCGGCAGTGCACCAATGTCGACGGTGACTTGTTGCGGGATGCGCTTCGAGACCGCCTGGCTTTAATGTAGATGCACGCAGAAGAACACGGGGATGGTCGGATTGGACGAAGGGGGTCGGTAGGAAGGAAGCGGGGGGGGGCTAGGGGGGGCTCAGCTTGTGACGTGATCCGTGTAGAGCAGTGCTGCGTTTTTGTAGTGTTTCTGAAGCTCTGGGATGTTTAGCGTCGTCAGAGCACTTGCGTTCCCCTCCCCTCCCGTGTGGCGGTTTGTTGGCCGCCACTGAGTTCAAGCCGCGTGCGAAGTCGCGTTGTAGCCTGTGACGCCGCCGGGTAGTCGGCATTGTAGGCGCCAGTCATTTTGAAAGTTTCGACGGTGGGGAGAGTAGTAGGGTGTGTAGCACTGTGTTTTCTTTTTGGTGTGCTTCGTGCACTTGTTCGACGTTTTTATATGTGGACAACCTTTTTTTTTACGATGTCAATTTTTTTAATTTTTTTTGTCGTTCTACGAACCTCTATTCTATCCATCTTCAATTGTTTGAGGTCTGTCGATRAGTGGCACACATTCCGTTCACTTCTGAAATCTGTGGAATTGCTAACAATGCAGGCATTCAGATTGTATGTCCATGTTGTTCATCTTCAACGTCATAACTCTCAAGCAAACAGATTGCATGGACAAACTCTTCTTCTTCAATGTCATGTTTCTGAAGCGAACGTAATGGTATGTTCGGACGGCGTGAAAAAAAAAAAAAAAAAAAAAAAAAAAAAAAAAAAAAA